ATGGAATTAATTGAATTTCTAAAGTAAAGATGCACATTTATTGGGAACCAGCAGTTAGTGTAATGGCTATATCGCTGGACTCCCACATAGTCAACCGCGGTTCACATCCCAGACCTGGTGGCTTAAAACTCATGCCGGGCACGTGTGCGTGCGTGCCCAAGATCCCGAGAGGAGAATGGAGAAGGGGTTGCGGCGTGACCATCCCCCCTGGAGGGTGATTTCTCGCTTTCTGTCTCTATGTCTCTGTCTGTCTGGCGAGCGCACGTGCCCTATAGCAAAAATCTCTCCAAAAAAAAAAAAGATGCACATGTATTTTGCAGGTAGGGTTTAATTTTATTGTTCACTTTATGTGCATGTCTCTTTGTTTTTACCCCTTCCTCTGCATCTTGGTAAAACATAATTGTTGAGCTGTTGGGAAAGTCATGACGCATTTTTGCATAGAAAAATATGTCATGACTTTCCCAGTGATCTAATAGTAGACATTGTCCCTTTGGCCCCAGAAAAATGTACAGCCATGAAACCTCATAATCTAGCTTTTCTAGAAGGACTCTTGGTTATACTCAGTTGTTCTGGCTGAGGGTATGGAGTCTTGAATTAGACAGATGCCTATTTTATAGAATAACAAGTTTAAATCTCATTGCTATAGTAATAGTTTCATGTGGTACACCTGGCAATTTCAGTCAGGAAAAAAATCAGTTCGGCAACCTTACTCGCTACCTCTAATTGTAAGATTGCTCTGAAAGGTAATCCCTTGGGGCCTTTATGGAGAGAAGGGAATTAGGGAAGTCCTCTGTCTACCTTTTTAGCTTTTCTTCTCTTTTTTCACTTATTCTGATTCTGATATGGAATGCATAAATCCTCATAGTAACCTCAAAATCAAATAAAATTCAAATAGAAGCTTCTATGATAACATTTTTCTCTAGATGAGAGAACCTTAAATTCTTTCATTCTTTTGATAGTTTCCCATTGGATGACCAATATCTGAGTCATGCTTTAGTCTTCTGTTCATACTATTCAAGTACTAATTATCAAAATTAAATTAGTATGAGGATTTAACTATTACTTTATTTTGTTTTGAGAGATTTTTTTTGCTGTAGGGCATGTGCACTTGCTAGAGAGAGAGAGACAGACACAGAAATTGGGAAATCACTCCCCCAGGGGAATGAAACACCACAGTCCCTTCTCCATTCTTCTCTTGGGATCTTGGGTACATACACGCATGTGCCTGGTACGAGTTTTAAGTCACTGGGTTCAGGACTTGAACTATGGTCAGCTCTGGGGGGGGGGGTCCAGTGATATAAACATTATGCCATCTGCTGGTCACAGTGGATTTCACATTTATGAAATGTGTGTTAAGGTTTCTCTACCCTCTTTGGACAGTCTTTCAGAACATAGGGTAGGGCGTGTTCCTTTGTTTTAAGGTAGTTGTGAGTCCGTTTAAGGATATCTAAGTGAAGTTACATGTGTTTGTGAGTTGTTTTTCTTTTTCCAGATGGAACTAACACGATGATTGGGATTTATATTCTTAGCTCTTTGCCTTTAAGAATAGGTGAACCTGCTGGTCTTAATACCCTGTTTGGGGATCTTGGCTTGATTACAGATTGCCCCAAGGCCTCTAAGCAGATCGTTTCTGAGAATCCAGTGCTGCTTTGTGTGATACTCGAATCCAGGCACACTCCCTCTCTTCTGTTTGCGTTCTGAATCCTCGTGTGCTTCAGTATTCTTGGCAATGTTTCTGTGCTAAATATTTTCTCTGCTGACTTTGATTTTTATTTCGGAGCTGAATCACCCCAGGAAAGTTTAGCTACTTCACAGAAAATTAATAAAACTTACACAGATTAATGGCATTTAAATGCCTGGTCAAATACTGCCCCCCTAGCACAGTGGTTAAATTTGGTACATTAGGAGCCAGATCTCAGATGACAACCGAGATTTAAATCCTGGCACCAGTGGCTTGAAACATGCCATGCACATGAGCATTTGCACCCAAAATCCTAATAGGATAGAGAGATGAAGGAAAAGAGATTGCTGCATAAGTATGCCCCCATTGCGGGGGCTGTGGCTGCTTTCTCTCTCTGGCTAGCACACATGCCTCTGGCAAATTTTTTAAAACTCTCTTTAAATATATTGGGTCAGGTACCAGCAGTTAGCATAGTGGCTATGTCGCTGGACTCCCATGTAGTCAACCACACTTCGAGTCCTGGATCCGGTGGCTTAAACTCATGTCGGGCGTATATGCGTGTGTGCCCAAGATTCCCAAAGGAGAATGGAGAAGGGATTGCCGTGTGGCCATCCCGGGGGGGGGGTGATTTCTCGCTTTCTGTTTCTCTGTCTCTCTCTGTCTTTCTGGCATTCACACGCACCCTATAGCAAAAACCTCTTCCCCTCAAAAAATACATACATACATACATATATATATGTATGTATGTGTGTGTGTGTGTGTGTATATATAGGGTCGTCAGGAAAGTCATGATTCATTTTTGCATAGAAAAATCTGTCATGACTTTTCAATGACCTAGTATCGTCTGTTGACTGTATCTAGGTTCCACATCTGCAGATTTGATCCAGTTGCAGATCAGAAATGTTTCATCAATGCCGATGTTTTTTATGTACTGTAATGGTTGCCTCTGAACTTAACATATGGAGGTATTTTTTTCCTGGTTACTTTCTCAACAGTGCAACCTAACACTTACTTATATAACATTTACATTGTGTTACATAGTTACGTAGCCTAGAGAAGATTTAAAAGTAGACAGGAGGTTATACTTAGGTTATGTAAAAAATACCTCACACCATGTAAGTGACTTCGAGCATCTATAGATTTTGGTATCTGTATACACCTATAGACTTGAAAAACAAGACATATTTTCTGCAGTTGCTATGCATAATGAGATTATTGGCAGTTTTATTTTTCTTTAAGATTTGATTTTTTAAGGATTATTTAATTAATTTATTATTATTATTATTATTATTATTTGACTAGAAAGTGAGAGAGAGTAGGGGAAAGTGAGAAAGTAAGCAGCCAGGTCCGGGACTTGAACCGTGGTCGGCCATGTTGGAGTCCAGCACCCTAACCCCCATGCCACCTCCCGGCCCCTATTTTTCTTTACTTTCTATAAGAAAAATTGTTTTGAAGTGAGGTTTTCTTTAAAAATATCAGCATTTTGTTTTGACAGGTGTCCTTATAGTTAAATACCTCATAATTCTTTTCCCCCAAAAGATCTTAAACAGGCAATGACATGTGCATTGGTGATTTAGTGGTATAGCTACCTTCCAGATTGAAAATTAAACCATTTCTTAAACATAGTGGTACACTGTAGAACATGTAGACATGTAAATTAGATTATTGCCATAATTTAATGGTTAAACCTGTATTTTAAATGTAAAATTGACAGAAATGCAAAAAATTCATAATCAGCATTTTTATGTTAAAAGGAAACTTCTTCACATAAACCAGAACTTCTAGAATCTAGAAAAGCTGTAAAATGCCTGAAGTCGTATAGCTGCTGTTAGCTAATGCCAACCTGAATCTTAAATTCTTTTGATTTTCTACTTCTTTGTCATAACCATAATGTTTGTTTCATCTTTTTTAGGTTCTCCCTAAGTAGTAAATCCTCAGTAGCATTTAGGAACGTACTTGGGGTTACCTGTTTTTGTTTTTTGTTTTTTGTTTTTCCAGTGTAAAAATACCTCCTAAGTGTGAAGAAATTTTTAGAATAGTATGTTAACATGTTTTTTCTTGTTTTTTTATCTATGTATGTACATTTCTAGTCACAACAATGTCATCAAAAATATCTTTTATGGTGGGCCAGCAGTTAGCGTAATGGCTGTGTTGCTGGACTCCCATGTAGTCGACCGCAGTTCGCATCCTGGACCCAGTGGCTTAAAACTCACGCTGGGTGCGTGTGTGTGCCCAAGATCCCGAGAGGAGAATGGAGGAGAAGAGATTGAGGCGTGGCCATCCCCCCTGGGGGATGATTTCTTGCTTTCTCTCTCTCTGTCTCTCTGCCTTTCTGGCGAGCGCATGCGCCCTACAGCAAAAACCTCTCAAAAAAAGAAAAGATATTTTTAATGAAGTTGTTGTGACTAGAAATGTACATACATAAATAAAAACAAGACAAAACTTGTTATCATACTATTCTAAAAATTTCTTCACACTTAGGAGGTATTTTTACACTGGAAATAAAAAACAACAGGTAACCCCAAGTACCTTCCTGAATGCTACTGAGGACTTACTACTAAGGGAGAACTTAAAAAGGATGAAACAAACATTATGGTTATGACAAAGAAGTAGAAAATCAAAAGAATTTAAGATTCAGGTTGGCATTAGCTAACAGCAGCTATACTAATTTTGTTTTCTATCACAGTAAAGAGTGTATATACAGGGATGACAGGTGGTGTGGTGGTTAAGGGCGCTGGACTCCCACATGGCTGACCACGGTTCGAGTCCTGGATCTGGCAGCTTGCTTTCTCACTTTCTCTCTCTCTCTCTCTCTCTCTCACTCTCACTCTCTCACTCACTCTGTCCCTCTCTGGTCGAATTAAAACAAAGTTAACTAAAATTTTTTTTTTTAAAGTATATATAGATACTTTTAAACAAAGTATAGTTTTTGAGAAATAAGTTCTTAGAATACACTGTTGCATTTAGCAGTTACTAAAAAACTTCATTTAAATTTCTTTAGTTGTCTTTACTACTGATGTTAGTATATTCTCCTTAGCTCTTAATTAAAGATTGGTCTTACTTTGTCCATAGAATTATTACAAGAGTTACTTAATACTTTTAGTCCGATAAAATATTTGGGTTCCTAGTCTTCCTTTCCCTAAAGTAGAAGCTAATTATCTTAATTGTTATCTTTTCCCTTGGTCAAATAAGATTTTTTTCCCCCATTCGTCATCAGAAATTTTAGGAGCTTCATATAAATGAAATGGTGCTCCTTTTCCAGCTCCTTCCTTTACTGAGTAAATGTTGATGTATACTTAATTTTTTTCTCTTTATTCAGATTGAGTCTGTTTCTCATCCACTGGAAAACCATGGTGCCCCTATTGTTGGCCATATTTCAGAGTCGTTGTCTACCAAATCATGTGGAGCCCTGAGACCTGTCAATGGAGTCATTAACACGTAAGTTTTATTCCTCTCTTTCTTATACTTAATAAATTTGTAAAAAGTGTGAGAAGTTTGGAGCTTGCTCTTCGCTATCTCTAGCTAGGACCGACCCTGTTTTAAAGAAGTAGAAACCTTATCACTTGATATTAGGGAAGTCATGATGTATTTCTCTGTGCAAAGATGTGTCGTGACTTTCCCAGTGACCCAGTAATATTTTGCACTCCTACTGCTGGAACAAGTGTATTTTAATTAATCTCCTCATGTATTTCTATTTTACCTACTATGGCCTAAAATGGACTGGGCATGGAGAAAAATAAAAAGTCCTATAATTATTGTACATCCTTATCATTGGTCTTTGTCTTAGAGGACTTCCTTAGAAGTGTTTACATAAACTCTCCCCTAGAATAGATTAGATCTCCAAAGTCTTTTTTATAAATCTATATGAAGACTGAAGGAATCACTGTTCAAATAAACGGTATGTGCACTTCCTAATCAAGTTTCACAGAACTGATTCAAAGACAGCTCGTTGATATTTGCAAAATTGACTTTTTTTTTAACCAATCATAATCTTCTAGACTTTACCCATGTTTGTGGTGTTGAAGAGAACTTCATCAATAGAACTTGAGTTCATTTACTGACTTTTATATTTTTTGGACATGATGGAGTTAGTGTGTATGAAAAGCCTTACAAGTGTAGACATAGTATATACATACTTAGATTAGCAGACATTATCAAGAAGATGACCTAGTTTTGTTCTAGAATGCTTGTTTGCATCTGAACCTTTTCAGGTATAGAAGATTGAACAAGTATTAGAGACTTTGTTTCCTTGGATTCTCTAAGAAGTGAATACTCTTCCTTTTCCTTGTGTAGTCTTCAGCCCGTCTTGGCAGACCACATTCCTGGTGACAGCTCTGATGCTGAGGAACAGTTACATAAAAAGCAACGACTGAATCTAGTTTCTTCATCTGATGGCACCTGTGTGGCAGCCCGGACACGTCCTGTACTAAGCTGTAAGAAACGGAGGCTTGTTCGACCCAGCGGCATCGTTCCTCTTTCCAGGAAGGTCAGTACCCTGAGACTTGGTCATTGTCAAACAGTGAGTCAAATGCTCAGAGAGAGTGATTAGTCTCTTTCCAACATTGGTCTTTTTAACTCGTGTTTTTCAAACTTGGCTAACCACCAAAGTTTCCTGTGTTGCTTTTAAAAAATACTAGATTCCTAGGCCCTATTTTCTAAAGATTTGGGTTCAATTACTCTGGAGTTGCTTCTGGAAATGTATTTTCACATAGCACTAAGCTCCTAGGTGACTTTTAAGCCAGGTTTGGAAATATCTGGCTTGTGCTTTTTAATAGAAACGAGAGATTGAATGCTTGTGCTATTGTCACTAAAAATGGCAAGAATGCTTTGCCTTATAAAAAAACCTCTTGGGACTGGATGGTGGTACAGTGATAACGCACCTGGGCTCATGTAGAAAAGGTCCTGTTCGTGTCCCAGGATCTCCCTGAGCATGCTGGGTGCACATGTGTGTCTGTTATCTGGACCAGCTGATCCTGGGGTGGATTGCTGCATGAAGACCCTGTCAGAGCTGCCTGTCTTATCTTTCTTTCTCATGGAGGAAATATGTAAACATTTAAAAGTCTATTAAAATTTCTAAGTTGTTGGCTAAACAGATGATCCTCATAAAGAAAATAGAGATTAATTCACATGTGCAGGGAACTTTTTTGGGGAGGGGGAAGGTTTTTGCTATAGGGCACGTAAGCTCGCCAGACAGAGACAGAGAGCGAGAAATCATCCCCCAGGGGGGATGGCCATGCCGCAATCTCTTCTCCATTCTCCTCTTGGGATCTTGGACATGCACACACATGTGCCCGGTATGGGTTTTAAGCTACCGGATCCAGGACTCGAACTGCAGTCAGCTATGTGGGAGTCCAGCGACATAGCCATAATGCTAACTGCTATCTTGCATGCAGGTAACTTTTGCTTCTAACTCTTAAAGTACTAGAGTTGGCTTTATTCTAAAACTAATAAAATGCTCCAGTAAACTTAATTCCACACAGTGGTTAACAGCATTAACTTTGAAGATGACAAACTCATACTTTTTTTTAAAGAGTGTTTGCCTTAGGGTACGTGCGCTCGCTGGATAAAGAGGGAGAGACAGGAACAGGGAGAGGGAGAAATCACCCCCACCCCCAGAAGGGATGGCCACACCAAAATCTCTTCCTGTGATCTTGGGTATATGTGTAACACAATGCATCTGGCGTGATTTTCAGACCATCAGGTCTGGGACTTGAGCCACGGTTGGCCATGTGGGATTCCAGCAACATAACTGCTGCATCATTCACTAGCTCCTACAAACTCCTATTTAAATCATGGCATTGCCACTTAGTTTTATGATTTGGCCTATGTGAAATACTCCCAACCTATCACTTCTCTCCAGTTTATCATAATCTCATTGGCTTGCTTGAGGATTAAGTGAAATGTTTGTTTAACTTGTTTATCAGGGTATCTGGCTCATAAGTTTCTAATACTAGGTGGCTGTTACTGTTAATGCTTTTGTTTTTGTTCATTTACTCATTCAACAAATATTTCTTCAGCTTCTTCAGTGAGCTAGTTCAATTTGGGGCACAAAAATAGACAAAAATCCATACCTTTATGAAATAATTTTAATTCATAATGACAAAAATATATCAGTAAATGAACTATATAGTATGTCCTATAGTGTTAAATCCTGGTGAGAAAAATACAGCAGATGGGAAGAGTGCTGGGGGACTCAGATTAAGTGTATAGGGACCCACCCTTTCCTAATAGGCACTACCAGTCAGGAGGCTGAGGCCACAGGAGACGTCTGGGATAGAGTCCACCTTTTAAAGCCTGGTGCAGTGATTTCTGCTTATAGTCCCTAATTCTTTGGAGACCAAGGTAAAAAGATGGTGATATGGCAAGACCCTGTCTAATAAATGAAAAAGAGGTGAAGGGAGTAGACCTTAAGATATTCTAAGGCTCAGAGGTATGAAAGATGGGGAGAGTGACTCATAAAGCAGAATGAAACCCAAGTGGACATTTTTAAAATATGCAGGTGTGTGCCCTATAGCAAAGTTTTGGTCAGTGAGAGACCACATGTGACAGTGTTTCCCTAGGGTTTTTATTGACTCTGTCTTACAGCCTGGATGCATAGTAGGTTATACCATCTAAGTACACTATATGATGTTTACACAATGACAATGTCCAAACAACTCATTTCTCAGAACATATTCCTGTTATTTTTTTTCTTTTTCTTTAGAGGTTTTTGCTATAGGGTGCATATGCTCGCCAGAAAGACAGAGAGACAGAAAGCGAGAAATCACCTCCCAGGGGGGATGGCCATGCCTCAATCCCTTCTCATTCATTCTCCTCTCGGGATCCTGGGCACGCACGCACACGCGCCCGGCATGAGTTTAAGTCATGCCACAGTCTACTACATGGGAGTCCAGCGACATAGCCATTATGCCAACTGCTGGTCCCCATATTCCTGTTATTAAGCAATACATAACCATATTTTTATATCAAAGGGAATATGTTATTTGTTGACAGTACAGTAGACTTTCGAGGCTCAATGTTTTAAGACTAGTCAGACTTGGAAGGGAACAGAAGTACATTGTGAAAAATTGTACTGCTTTTGGAAATAAAGCTACTAAATGAGTACTCAGAAATAAATCTGTGCCTTGAGCAATAACCTCTAAACTTATATGAAGGTTTTATATATATACATTTTGTGTATGTATATACGTTTTTATATATATGTATATATTATACTATGTATATGTATGTATGTATATATATGTAAAAAAACTTAAAATACATTTTGAAAAGACTGAGATAGTAATCAGATTAGAAGTTTTCATATTTGATTTCTTCTCTTTGGTGGGTCTTTCACAGTCAGTTTTGGAATGTACTTGATTAAGATAGAATTGTCTAATCTGTAAAAACCTTTCCAAATATTAACAGTGGGTTAGGGTAGATACTAATTATCAAGTGTAAAATCAAAAGCAAATAATTGCAAGTTGTCCTCAAATGAAAAAAATTTTAAATGTTTTGGACTAATATTACATGATTGATAGAAAATGGTCAATATAGCCTTACTTTGATATTGACTTCCTCTGTAAGTATTGCATTGAAGTTTTCATAGGAATTACTTAACGAGAATTGATACTACTTTAGCATTAAAGGAACATGAAATTTTTCTTTATTCAGTTCTTACATGTTTCCTGTGTTCTTCATGTGTGTGCGTGTGTGTGTGTGTGTATATTTTAATTGCCAGAGGGCATATGTGCTCACCAGTGGGGTGCGGATCCTGGACACACATACATGTGTACTGGAAATGTTTTTCAAGCTGCCAGAGCCAGGATTTGAACTGTCATTGGCCATGTTCAATCTGGTTTTCTTAATGAACACAACACAACCAGCCCTCTGGACATTTTTAATTAGTATAAATCAGTTCTTTTCTTCCATTATATTTTCTGTTAGTTAAATACTGCTGGTTTTTAGATATTTTAGAATTGAATACTTTTCTGAACTTTTTTCAGTCTTAACTTTCCACGTAGGCTCTCTCACTTTGGTATATAGTTTGACACCTCTTTTTGCACTTACTCTATTTCCTTGTCTAACTACACTTTTAGAAAAGCGTTAAATAGTTCATTTTAGTGAGGCATGCATATTCTCCATTCCTGGTTTTAATCACTACACATTTTTTTCTTAATTACCAGTTTATACATGTGCTGGTGAAAGAGAGCACTCTCAGGTAAGATACAATCCTGCCAGAGTACTTTTTCCTCCATTTCTCCATCTCATAAGGATTTTAGATGTGTACTCACACATACAGACACACATATGCGCACGCGCACACACACACACACATACACACATGCATCTGGCAAGTTTTCCAAGTCACCAGGGCCAAGACTTGAACTTTAGTTACAGTAGACTTTCGAGGCTCAATGTTTTAAGACTAGTCAGACTTGGAAGGGAACAGAAGTACATTGTGAAAAATTGTACTGCTTTTGGAAATAAAGCTACTAAATGAGTACTCAGAAATAAATCTGTGCCTTGAGCAATAACCTCTAAACTTATATGAAGGTTTTATATATATACATTTTGTGTATGTATATACGTTTTTATATATATGTATATATTATACTATGTATATGTATGTATGTATATATATGTAAAAAAACTTAAAATACATTTTGAAAAGACTGAGATAGTAATCAGATTAGAAGTTTTCATATTTGATTTCTTCTCTTTGGTGGGTCTTTCACAGTCAGTTTTGGAATGTACTTGATTAAGATAGAATTGTCTAATCTGTAAAAACCTTTCCAAATATTAACAGTGGGTTAGGGTAGATACTAATTATCAAGTGTAAAATCAAAAGCAAATAATTGCAAGTTGTCCTCAAATGAAAAAAATTTTAAATGTTTTGGACTAATATTACATGATTGATAGAAAATGGTCAATATAGCCTTACTTTGATATTGACTTCCTCTGTAAGTATTGCATTGAAGTTTTCATAGGAATTACTTAACGAGAATTGATACTACTTTAGCATTAAAGGAACATGAAATTTTTCTTTATTCAGTTCTTACATGTTTCCTGTGTTCTTCATGTGTGTGCGTGTGTGTGTGTGTGTATATTTTAATTGCCAGAGGGCATATGTGCTCACCAGTGGGGTGCGGATCCTGGACACACATACATGTGTACTGGAAATGTTTTTCAAGCTGCCAGAGCCAGGATTTGAACTGTCATTGGCCATGTTCAATCTGGTTTTCTTAATGAACACAACACAACCAGCCCTCTGGACATTTTTAATTAGTATAAATCAGTTCTTTTCTTCCATTATATTTTCTGTTAGTTAAATACTGCTGGTTTTTAGATATTTTAGAATTGAATACTTTTCTGAACTTTTTTCAGTCTTAACTTTCCACGTAGGCTCTCTCACTTTGGTATATAGTTTGACACCTCTTTTTGCACTTACTCTATTTCCTTGTCTAACTACACTTTTAGAAAAGCGTTAAATAGTTCATTTTAGTG